TCCATATAAAAGGAAAGACGTGCTCATCAAAAACGCGCAGAGGGACAGTTGAAATGGCATAAACTCAACACTTCTTGTCTGGATCACCAAATTCTGCCACAAGAAAAAAAGGATTTGAGCAATTAATTTATAAAGAATTACGACTAAACCAAGCAAATTAAGAGAATTTATCCCATTTAACGAGGCTCAAGTGAAGGACATGAAGAATTTCGATAAAAACAAGCAATAAAGAGAAAACGAAATACATACGATTATAAACAACGGTGAAGCAAACATGGATATGAGGGAAGCACAACTTAGGAACCCGATGGTCAAGTGGCGAATTTCAAAGTCAACTATGAGCAAGCTTCCAATGGCGATAACTGCAAACACGACGAGTACTGACAAGACCAACCCTGCCATCCTCAACTGCAAGGAAATAAACACAATTCACAGAACCGAACTTTTTCCAAGAATACAAAGGAGGAAAGAAAAACATGATACTCTTAAAAAAACAATAAAATAAGGAAAAGTAAACCTTTTTAGTCTTCTCGGCATATTTTATGAAGATGGCAATGTACATTATCTGGAAAAGGGCACCTATTGAGTTGACAGTCGTGACCAATATGTTGTCCCTAGATATCATAGGCAGACCGTACCAAGCCGTGATCAAGCAATTCAAGAGCGTGTATATGTACGGCAACCCTGAGAACTGCTCGGTTGACTCGTTCCTCATTATTCTCCTGAACGTTGGCCTGTAAAATTATATTTAAACAAATATTAATCCATGGGCGACGAGGCACGCAATCAAGATAACTTTTACAGTTCAAGAGTGAGTGAAAACTCACACGGGGGATAGAAATAATCCAAAGGCAAAGATATTCCCTGCACACCATCAAAAAAAGGTTCGTCATAATTAACGAAAATCATCGAAACATAAACGATTCTATAGTTTGCTGAACCGAAAGTACCAGACTCATTAACGCATTTATCACTATGTCGATATTTTGTAGCTCCACCCGTCATCTGATTTTACCTCCATACTTCTACCATCATTGTAGCTTAACTTCCTCAAGATTGGCATTTTCATTTTCTCATGTACTCATGTGGGGTTCACTCGGTTCATAACAAGACTAGGTGAAATGCTAAATAGAACAGAGGATCACCATTATTTTTCTTCACATAGGCATAAGAGCTCCCAACTTCAACAAATCAAAGGATCATATAAAACAGGCATTATCAGGCAAAAAACATACATCCATCTTTTGTCATCTTAAAATCAAGAAATGTGCCTAATGCTCCATACATACATACAACACCACCAAGCACTGAAAATTCACACAGCATTTCAATTTTTCACAGTATACTAATCACAAATTCAAAACCCATTTCACCCAATTCACAAGTAATCTAACACAAATCCCTATTATAGAGAGAGAGAGAGGGAGAGAGAGAGAGAGAGAGAGAGAGAGAGAGAGAGAGAGAGAGAGAGAGAGAGAGAGAGAGAGAGAGAGAGGTACCCGCAACCCCAGCTGCATCTTTGCAAGTGTTGAGTGTTTGAACTGAAGCTAAACAAACCATCAGAAAAAATTCCCTTTTTTCCTCCTAAGCCCAGAAAGTGAATTCAGTTGCATAAACCCAGGATATTGACACTCAAAAATTCTTGCAAAAAAGTTGAGATTTTTAATGTTTGTCTTGGCAAATTTTCCAGCCAGACAGCATTTGCACTGAGAAAGGAACTTTGTACCACCACGTTTGGGGAAAATGAAAGCAGCCCGTGATTAAAGTGTGGATAAGGTTTATTTGATGGCATTTAGAAATTTGTTGTGGTTCACAGGCTCTCACATCAGAAGGATGCACAATATAAGCACGAGTTCTCTTCTTTCGACCAACAATGGCAACCTTTGATTATCTTTCGATCGCTTTCATGAGAGAAGCTGAACGGTCAAAATTAGCTGTAGTTGAGGCCAAGGCATGGCTTACGACAATTATATTTGTGGAAAATGCTAAGGTCCCGTTACGGAAACATTTCGTCCGAGTTTGTAACTGTTAAATCATCATGTAATCGTCAGAAATAGTTGATTTAACGGTTACAAATTACGATTTACGACGGAATGATTCCGTAACGGGACCGTAACATCTTCCTATATTTGTATCAAACTAGTACAAAGGACGTTGACACATGATTTATAATTTCAATTTTACTTTTTAATATTTGTATGATTTATTTATTTACTCTTTTTTGTATTATTTTTTTTTAATTAATAAAACAGAAAAAAAGTACTTATTTTTGTGTCGAATGCAATGAAAATTAAGTATAATTTTTAGACAAAATTGCAAATTATGAACAGTGATAAAAGAAATGAAAAAAATTGGCAAAATCCACCCAACAATTAATTATAAAAATTTGAGAAATTGGCCACTACGGGCGACTGATTACAGAATTTAAATTATCCAATTTTGAGTGATCGTATATTTTATTACACTTTTTAACCAAAATTCAATTTAAATTAATTCAACTCAACATTTCATATTATCAATATAATTAAATATATCCCGAGATATAACCGAGTGGTGATGAACGATGGCACGGGTGGGCTCACAACATCAACATGGAGAATTCAATTCCCAAAAGATGCATTTCAACGAGGAGATTTTTTTTGAGGCTATAATTATAAGCAATCTGGAATGTAGGGGCTCACTCGGGCACATCCCGCAATTTACCTCCATGATTCACTGAGGGGTCGGAGCTTAGGGTCTATGAATAGTCTAGTGGAGCAGATAAACCTGAATAATTAAAAAATAAAAATATCAGTCAATCATCATCATACATCACATAAATTTTAATTCATTGTTCATCAAACAATATATTTTTAACTACCAATCATTTCAAATAACACTAGTACGAATCCCGTGCGATGCACGGATAAGAAATATTCACTAATATTTTTTAAATTAAAAATTATCATTAATAATATTATAAATTAAAAACAAAGAATAAAATGTAATACAATTTACCTTTATTAATTTATTTATAATGTTATATGAAATTTAAATTGTGCAAAATTATTTAAAACGCGTCTATTTATAATTAGTTGACAATCGTACGATGCACATAAATGATAATAAGTTACATTATATTCATTTCAAAATAAATGTTATTTTAAATTTTTTGTTCAAAATTTCAATTTGAATACAATGTGGTTCAATAAAATTATTATTTTGGTAAAATTTTGTCATATATTTAAAAATCTAAGTGAATAATAAATAAATATAATATTAAAATTTATATTGTTTCATTAACTAAAATACATTTATTTTTGTATAAACTATACAAATAAAAAGATTTAAGTGGTTGAGTAATTTATTAAACTGACTATTCTATTTACGTTCAAGTTAATATTGAGCTATAAATAACTACTTATTTGTATTTTAGTTATGGAACTCAAATTTGAATTAGATAATAAATCCCCTTATATATTTTAAAAATGCCTATATTTTTCTAATCTCGAAATTTTTTAGATTTGTTGTCGGTTACCTTGTCTATCAACTAATTCTTTATAACTAGTTTACAAATTTTAAATTTTGTTAACAAATATTTCTTTAAAGATCTTTGTAACTTTCAAGAGGAATACATACCGAGTTGTCGAATTATCATCAACATCTTATGGCAAGTTATTATGGCTATATGCTAAAATTTGAGAATCATGTCATCATGATTTTATAACAAATCAACCTAAAATTCGACATTCATACCCATACTAAATAAAATCTATACCACTTTTTTTATTTGAAAAATCTCCAAATATACTGTTATCCATACCAAATGAAATTCATACCATTTAAATTTGTACATTTCATACCAAAATAAAATCTCCCTCTTTTTATACATCATACTACTCAACTATTAATTTATTTTAAAATTTATGTCAAATAATATGTATTAAGATACATAATTCAGGCCTTAAATTGATACAATTGCAAAGCTTGGGGTCTTGTAATAGAATTTTGCCATTAATTAATTTTCCATCATATT